TGAGGGGGCGGCGACGCTGCCCCTCTGTGGGAAGCGGGCGGCCTCGGCCCCCTCCCTGAGGGCACTATGGAGGTGAATGCGGGTAAGAGCCGGACTGCAGCGGGAGGAGACGGCAGAGGGGCGCCCGGGGGCTCGCGGGGGGCGCCTCGGCGAGGGGCGGTGGCGGGAGGGCGGCGGGAGGGCCGGCGGGGTGGGTGGCTACGCGCCGCGTGTCCGCCTCTGGCTGGACACCCGTTGCCCCTCGAGACACCTCGCGCGGGTCTTCGGGGCTCCCCACAACGCCGCAGCGCGGCCCGGCCCCCCCCTCACATGGCCCGGCCGCGCGAGCCACGTGCGCGCTGTGTTTACGTTCCGCGGCGCGCGAGCTCCGGTTGGCTGGGCGGGCGCGTGACGCGGCATTACATAATGGGCGCTGAGGCGGCGGCGGCGGGCGGGGACACGTGAGGCCTCTCGGCTCTGTGACCCACATTCCCCGGGGCCGCAGGGACACGTGGGGGCGGGTGCGCGCGCCGGCGGGGAGCGCCGCAGCCTCCCGGGAGGCCCCGCCCCCTCGGAGCCCTCTGGGCTGTGACGTGGCCGCGATTCCCTCCTCCCCCGCGGGCTTGCACACTGCGGAGGCCGCCGCGCCTGTGCGCCCTCTGGGCTCCCCGCGCAGGGAGGCCCCGCCCGGACATCCGCGTCGCATTGCGCGGCCGCCGCCCGCACGGTCTGGCGCTGACGGAGCATCGCTGCCCCCGAGCCTGGGCTGCTGCGGTCGCGCGCTTTGCAGACCCTGCGGAACCGGTGCCGGCCCCAGGCGCGCGCCGCACTGCCCAAAAGAGTGCTCTAGAAGCGTGGGGCTTCCCGAGGGAAACCCCCCTCCCCCGGAAAATCCGGGCGCCGGGATCCTGGACTGCGCCCGCCCTTAGAATGCCACTTAGACTTTGACACTTTCCCTCTCCCACCCCCGCCACCAAAATGTTTCCCCTAGGACGACCTAGCTTAGGCACCCCCAGTCTGAAAAACGGTTCAGTGTTCCCTGGGGCCGGGTTGTTAACTATTTTCAGGATGACTCAGGTGACCGTCTGCAAAACTAGTATTCTTTATTTGCATTAAAAAAATTTAAACCAATGGCTGGTGGCGTGGCTCAAGTGGTAGAGCGCATGTCTAGAAAGCCTGAGGTCCTGAGTTCAAATCCCAGTACCACACTCAGAAAATTAAACTTGTGGTCCAAGGACCTTACCTGAAATCGATATTTATAAATTTTTTCCATGTTGCATTTCCTGCTACACTGTCACAGAATAATATCGAGCAGTTCTCCCCCTCCCGCTTTACTCTACCCCAAACAAATGATAGTTCTTACGTTGAAGGAGGTGAGGTTGCAGAGGGCTCGGGTGTTGATTTATTTATTTTTGAGTTCTATGCACCTCTGAAAATCATGCTTTGATAGCAAGTGTATTGTGAATTTTCAACCAGTCATAAAAATAAAGTGGTTTTTGGATTGTTTGCTACAGACACTTAGTAGACTTTGAGGGTATTAAACATTATTCAGTAAATTTATTGTGGCGTTAAGTGTTTATATCATAGGAATTTAGAGGTTATAAACGTTTGGCATGCTTTGCAATTTAATAAGGGCGGGTTCAGGTGGGTTTTCTCTGGTTTGAGCTTTCCTGGAACATTACTAGTGATGTCAGTCTTGACTTTGAGGGCTGCAAATTATAAAAATTCCTCTAGATGACTGTTGACAACTCCTTCCCCGATCCTTTGGGTTCTTCTCTTTCCAGTTCTCTAATCCCTGGGGCTTTGCTCAGTGTCAGTTTTTCTGATCACTCATCATCCTTGTCCTTCGGGATGTAGCACCCAGAGGTGAATAGGCTATTGTGGAAGTTCTAATCTTCTCTCTTGTTGCAATTGAGTTCAGTTCTTTGTCAGGTTTCTTATTTATTTAATTTTTGGCATTTTGCTTTGCTGACTCATAGTAATGTTGCTCTTAGGTAGGCCCTTTTCATATGAAGTATTTTGAAGCTTGGTTTCATCTGTTACGCAGACAATCGCTTTGACTCTGAAGTGTGGGAGTCTGCAATTCTCATTCTTGAATTTTCTCTTGTTCATTTCATCCCCAAGCTCAGATGTGTCACTTAATAAATTAATCATTCTGCTGTGTCTGTCAGAGGAATCCTTTGATAAGAATTCTTTTTAACTTCTTCAGAATGTTGTAAACATTGACCAGGGTGCGGCCCAACTCAGTGCTTTGTGGCATCTGTCTGGCCTTCCCTCTAGCTTGATATTAGTTGACACACTTTCATCTTCCTGTCCTGTTATTCATGACACACAGTGTCGCTAACACATGGGAAATTGATTCTATACATTTTGCCCAATTCTGTAAAGTAAAGAGGAGTCATTGCATACACTTCATATCCATGGCTAGAATTCACATTTTTATATTTAGGAAAATATTTCTCCACAGTCTATTAATGTTTGCAGACTTGTATTCTGTGTTCCAAACTTGGGGATTAGGAAGGCAACGTGGAAGTAACTTGCAAAGTAAGTCACTGGGTTCATGTGACACATTAAAATGAAGGAAAGAAGAAAGGATGGGGGGGCGGTTAGTTTTGTTTGTGCCATTTGGATTGGATGCGTCCAGTGTAATGGTGGCAGAATGACAGTCACAGTATCTATTGAGTGCCCTCTTCAGTGCTTTTTTGAGACCCTCAGCATTGCAGTCTTTTGTGTGAAATGCTGCTCACATTGCTGTAGGTGCCTCTTTGTTGGTCTGTGAAGCTTCTTAGGGAAGTTAGTGGGCTATTCTTTGGAGCTCTGGCACCCAGGTCACAGTTGCAAGTTCAGTGCTTTAGTTAGATCTAACCTACCATCTTGTGAGGAGAAACTATTCCTAACCCAGTCTTCAGATGAGAAAACAAAACCTCCCTGGTGGTTAGTTAAAGACGTTTTGTTCTAAGACACACACAGGCAAAAAAAGTGTAGTCGTGACTTAGTGTGAAACATCTTTTTAGGAGGGTGCACAAGCCTGGAAAGGGGGCCAGGAACTTCACCCCCCAGCCTCCATAATAGGACCAGTGCCCCCAGCAGTATAAAGGATTTTGACCCTGGCTTGCCTGAAGTTGACCACTGGGTAAGCCCTAGCCTAGGAACCTGGCTCAGCTCCACTGGTCCCTTTCAGCTAAAAATGGAGAGGACTCTGCCTGAGCTAATTTTAGCTCAAGGCCTCTAAGAAGTACATTCTGCCTGTTTCTGGAGGTGTTGGGACTTGGTGGTTCGGCGTTTTTATCTTTCTTGCTTTATCATCAAAACTGTGTGCAGAAAGCCTTTAGCTATTTTATTTCAGTCTTAGAATTGGCAGATACTCTGATTTTATGGACGATGACTCAGATTAAGAGACAGAGAGTGACTTGCTTGCTCAGGTCTTCTCAGTAAGAAGTGTTCTCTGGCTTGGACAGCCTTGACTTTCAACTTAGCCTTGCCACCTAGTAGCTCTGTTAACCTCGCTGAACTCTGAGCTCTTGAGTCCTTCATCTACAAAATGGGTTATTGGAAGTTAGTTCCCAGGGTTTATGTGAGGATTAAATGTGATAAGATGTCATGTCACTTTATGGTTGGAGTCCCATAGGGGTGAGATGACTTAAAGTTTTAGTTCCCTTTCTGTGCTGGGTTGAGAAACTATCCCATGTACTCCTGACCTTATATGAAAGTGAGATTTAACCCATTTGGTTGGTAGCTTGCTGTCTGGTAGCAAGAGTGGATGCTAGGACAGCTCAACTCTTGTTGGAGGTCTTGCTGGGAGAAGGCAGCTGCTTCTAGGTGGGTCATGCTTGTTGACTCTGGTGCCATGTACAAGTGCTTGAACTCTCTGAACATAGGAATTGGATCCGGTCTGGATTGGTAATAGCCCAGTAATTTTTTTAGGTTTGACTCTGGAGCTTTGCAGAAGTTGTTTTTTCGGTAATTTATAATGCTTTCCATTGTCCAGTCAGTGCTTTCAGCCAGTTCTTAAGCAATCTGGATAGCTCTGATTTCTACAAGTTTATTTCCCTCCTCCTCTTCCTCCTCCTCCTTCTTCTCTTCTGATGGGGTCTCGCTAGGTAGCCCAGGTTGGCCTTGAACTCAAGGTCTTCCTGCTTTTCAGCTTCCCTGAATGCTGGTATTACAGGTGGGCACTGTCACTCCTGATGCTAAAAGTTTATTTCTAAGCAGAGATAGTCAAAGACATTGTGAACATAAGTGACTGACTCAGAATGCTGGCCCTAGGAAAATCTCACTTCAAGGAAAAACATCATTTTCTTATCTTTCCTCTTCCTGCAAGTTAGGTATAAATTTAGTATCCAAGTTTCTTCTTTAGAAAAGACAAATAGCTGTGAGATATTCCGCTGGGAAATTCTAATACCTAGAATTTCTATTGTGAACTTGAGATCTCATAAAGAATTATAAAGACAGATGTCCATTGGTTTTACTCACTAACATGACATTAGATAGGCTTCCAGGTTAAAATGGCTTCTCTTTGAGTTCACAGGATACGTAAGCTATTTGGATAGTTATGGCAAGCAGACACCAACCTTTACAACTATGGAGCAATTTAAAAAATTTTAAAAACTAACTTTCATTTGTTTGTTATTATTTTTGCCAGCACTGGGGTTTGAACTCAGGGCTTCATGCTTGCTAGGTAGGTGCTCTTACTGCTTAAGCAACTCCACTAGCCCTGTTTTTGTGATTTTTTTTTTTTTTTTTTTTTGAGATCGGGACTATTTTCCAAGGCTTGCTTGGAACCACAATCCTCCTGATCACTGCCTCTTCAGTAGCTAGGATTACAGGCATGAGCCACCAGCACCCAGCTATTATTACTATTATTTGTTTTACTGAGTTTGAACTCAAGGCCTCACACTTCCTAGGCAGATGCTGTACCACTTGAGCCACACCTCTGGCCCTGTTATTATTTTTTATTTCTTTTGAGATGGTCTCGGTAGGTAGCCCATGCTGGCTTCAGACTTGCAATCCTCCTGCTTCTGCCTACTGAGTGCTGGGATTTATAGGTGTGCACTACCAAACCCGGCTTGCTGGTTTGTGTTTGAATTAATTGATTTCATCCATTTTCAAGCTTTAGTATACAAAGAGCCTGTTAAAAAACTCACATTTCTGAGCCTATCTTCTCCAGTCTCAGCAGCCATGGAAACATTTTGACAAAGTACCAGGTGATTTTGGTGCTATGTATTTTACATTTCTTTTGGTGATGAAAATAAATTTAAAGTTGGGGAGTTTTTTCTCCTTTTGTTTAGGCTTCTAGGTGCTTTTACATTTTAGTGGCACACTGCCATTGAGCAGTTCACTACAGATGTAGTAGTTGGCTTGTGACAGTGTTCCTGTCAGAATCCCCACCAGGGCTCGGTAAGATGGTTCTGATGCAGCAGATCTGAGATGGGACCGAACATTTGTATTTCTCACAGGTTACCAGGTGACGGCTGATGCACCTGATCCAGGGACCACACTTGGCGATTGGTTGGTTAAGGATCACATATCAGTTCTAACTTCCCTCTGGGCAGCTTGAGATGCACAGCATATGAATGGAAGAGCAGAGTCATACCTTTAGCCTCCAGACCCATGCCATGCACAGGCTTTGCGATGTCTGAGTGGGTGAACTTGTCCACACTGTATTTTTTGTCTTCAAAAGTGAAGTGCATGTAGTGGAATTTGGCTTATTGAGTTTGTGTGTTTCTTGGCAGACTAGGCATCTTTATTCTTTTCTTTTCTGGGTTGTTCTAAACCCCTTGGGAGCTGTAGTGTATCTCATTGCTCAGGTTTCTCAGCCTGGATGCGTGTAATTGGTGCCTAAATACATGTTTGATACCTAATTTCAACACAACAGACTACAAGTGGCTTAAATGCCTTTGGGGGTTTTTTTGTTTGTTTGTTTGTTTTTTGCCTGTAAATGGAAATGTTTTTCTATTCTTTGGAATTGTTTTGGCCTCAACATTTTGCTGTGTGGTTTATTTACTTATACAAAGCATGGCTCCTATCTAAAAAAACATAAGATCAGGAGCCATTTTTCTTTATCAGAGGATGTTTTTATTTCAGAGCGAATGCTTAAGTTGCGCTTCTTACTTTGGGAAGGTGCAAAATTCTCCACCTAGTGCTTTGCATGGTCCAGAGAGCAGTGTCTGTTTCATGTGTGGCTTTACACTGTAAGGATTTACGCTGCTTGGAATCTGTCTGCTACTAGATGTGGACTTCCCAAAGGCAGAGAAGTAGGTCTCAAAAAATACGTACAACAGCCTTATTACCTGTAAAGCATGTACAGAGAATTAAAACCCTGTGTACCTGGGTGCTTATGTCTAATTGAAAAACAGGCAAACAATAGGTTTAAATAAGATTTCAGCACAGTGAGGGGAGAGATATAATTAACTTTTGTATATTTTATATGCTGCACACTGAGAAAGCCAATAAATATTTGCTGATGATGGAGGGAAGAAGAAATAAATCATCAGAGAGGATGAGGATTACTTGTTTGGCCTGGGATTTGGGAAAATAATGCATCTGGCATTGAGGTTACTCTTGCAGTATGTGATCTCTTTGAAGAAAGAAGTTCAAAATTATGCCCAAGAATAATTTAAAATGCTATTTCTTAGCAAAGGAGATTTATAGCCTTTAAGAGGTGCAGGTGTTTTGGTGGGGTTTTGGAGTTAATGTTGATGAACTTGTGAGCCCTGTTTTGAAAGTTGTTCCAAGGAAGAGAGGGTTAGCTTCTGGCTGTTTCCAGTTGCTCTCTCATAGCTTGTGTTCTTCCAGCCTCTTTAAGAAGTGCTAGAACTAGTGAATCAGAACAAGTGAGGAGTCTGAATTCCTTACCAGGTGCTTAGAAATGAGCCTGTCTATGAGTCCAGTAGCAGGATGGGATGGAAGGGAGGGGATAGGACAAGATGTTAGTGGACACCTCTTCAGAGAGCGTCAGAACAAAAAGGTTTAGGAGCATCAGCTTTTTCTAGAGTTTCAGATGTTCCATCTGTTCCCATTTAACCTGTGTTTCAGCAAGTACTTGGGGAGGCAAGTGATTGCTCCTAAGATTATGTCAGATGAAGGAATGATGGAGTAGGCAGAGAGGATCAGAACCAGATTGGTTCACAGCTGGAACAGTTTGCCTACCATGAGCGATGAAGTCACTCTGGGGGGGTTTCTCATTCCTTCCAGGAAAAGATTAGAAAATGAAAAGCTTTAGTTTTGCATCTGTGTGTGTTCAAATAACCAACTAGTGAGGATCTTCCCACTTTTGAAATCTGTGGGAGTTAACATGCATTTAAAGTACTTTTTACTTTTGGCGTTAAACAAACATTGAATGTCAGCAGCCTCTTTCTATAGCTAGTGATGTTTCTTTTTTTTTTCATTTTTCTTTTATTATTCAGCTAGTGATGTTTCTAATAATGGAGTGAATTTTCAGATTTGCAAAAGTAAACATCTTATATCTATCTTGTATCTAATCGTCTCATCTCACCATTTTCTAGGAGGTGTGATTGCCTACATCAGCTCTTCCAGCTCAGCCTCCAGCCCCGCCTCTTGTCACAGCGAGGGCTCAGAGAATAGTTTCCAGTCTTCCTCTTCTGTTCCATCTTCTCCAAACAGTGCTAATTCCGATGCCAATGGGAATCCCAAGAATGGTGATCTCTCCAGCATTGAAGGCATCCTGAAGAACGATCGAATAGATTGTTCTATGAAAACAAGCAAATCAAGTGCTCCCAGCATAACAAAGAGTCACAGTGGTGTGACAAGTAAGTTACTTTAGTATTTTGTAGGTCACTGCCATTATTTGCAGGTGGGCCTATTTTAGTAGCTTTTTATTTGGGGACTGTTATATTTCTGAATATAATTTTCAGAATATAATTTTTCCACTCTGGGTAGTATGGTCAGTAGTTGGGGAAGACATCAGTGATGGTTTTAGAAGTTTCAGGCTTGGGGGCTGTCCTGTGGTTATACATTCTGCCCAGCCATGTTTATTCTAGGGTGTTCACTTAGCATGTGTTCATAGTCACCTTTCTTCTGGACTTGGTACTGAGTCTTGTTTCTGGAGCACAGTGCTGACTCATTGTGGAAGGGGTTTGCTTTCATGAAGTTGGAGTTAGGATTAGGAAACAAAGCAATATTGGAATAACCAATGTGTGGTGGGATCCGACTCCTGAGGGAGTGTGGAAGTAACTGGAAGAGGGATGGGCAAAGGAGACCTGTGTGGCTCCTGTTGCAAAACTGAACAAGCACAGCTGCCTGTGGAGACGTCTTCCCGTCTTTTTTTTTTTTTTCTTCTTCTTTTTTGCTGTGTTGGGGATCAAACCCAAAGACGCCTGCACATTAGGCAAGTGCTATGAGCTACACCCCAGTTCTCTTTGCATCTTTTATTGATTGGTTTCTCTGCCTGAATTCTTAATATTTATCCAGGAGAGTTGTTTTCTTAGTTCTGGTTGCACATAGGTGTAAAGCAACTATAAGTTTACAACATTTTGGTGTATGTTTAAAATCATCAAAAAAGGGGGAAAAACCCCTTCAGCTCAGCTCTTTGAGGTATTTTTGGTAATTCCATAAGCTGTGTTTAAAACAAAATATAATTTTCTTTTCTTTGTTAATTTGGTATAGAGATTTTTCTTTTGTAGTAATATAAAAGTAAGTATTTATGGTTTTAAGGCACTTACAAGTTGAGTGAAATAAAATATTCAATCAGAAAGAAAAACACTTGAGTGTTTCTTCCAGCATCTCACGTCCTGTCTGTTTGTGCCCTAGAGTTTAGTGGCATGGTTCTACTGTGTAAAGTCTGTGGGGATGTGGCGTCAGGATTCCACTATGGAGTTCATGCTTGTGAAGGCTGTAAGGTAAAGCAAGCTTTTGTTTCCTTAAACTACTAACTGTGGGGTTAAAAAAGTTGGGGTTAGGTTTGTGAATTTACACAGATGAAAATCTAAGAGGGGAGAAGTCAGCTGCTCCTCTTAAGTTTTAAGCATTTTATGTAATATATGAACATAAGTTCATAATTCTTAATTTCTTTTAAGATTTTGTTCCACATAAATTTGCTCTCTCAGTTAAACAAGTGCTCATTCATTGATGGGTCAGGTACAGGTCTAGGTGGTAGGGAAACAAGAAAATGCAAAACAGACAAAGCACTGCTACTACCTACTTGGACCAAAGTTTAAACCAATTTTGAATTGGGTCTTGTCTTAGTTTGTTCAGTGCTGTAACAGAATACCACAGACTGGGTAATTTATGAAGTTTATTTAGCTCAGAGTTTTGGAGGATGGGAAGTCCTAGCGTGAGGGACTGCATCTACTGAGGCTTTCTTATTGTATGATAACGTGTTAGAAAGATCATGGAGAGGGATAGAGATGGAGAGAGGGGGTAGGAAAGGCATCTTGCATGTGTGAGAATGGACATGTTGGCATGCACATAAGAAGGGGCTGAACTCCTAACAAATCTACTCTCACAGTAACAACAATGCATTCATGACACAGAGTGTCAGGGTCTGCTCGCCTCTTCACTGTCCCGCCTCTCAACACTGTTGCATTGGGAAGTTTCCAACACACGAATCTTGGGGGACACATTCAATCCATAGCAGGTCTTATCAGACACTTTGACATCCTCACATGTCCAGTACAGGTTGCTGGAAGTAATTCTAGGCACTTGTAAAAATGTAATGTCTTAAGAAATAAGGTTAAGTGAGTAAAATAATTTTGAATATAAATTGAGCACTTGAGAAGGCTCTGATTAATTTATAACTTTAGCTGACTCTTTCTTAGTTATCTCTTCTGGAATGTTGGTCAGATAATTCCAAATGAGATAGTCTCTGCCTCCCACTTACATCTGGGAACCAGTCCATCTCTTTGTCTTTTTCTCTCTTTCTTAAATCTGACACATCCCTTCTCCTGTTATCAAACATGTACATGGTGAAGACCCGTGTTTTTGCTGTTTTCTGACTTGAGGTGTAAGCAGGAATCACTTGGCAGGATGTGGGGCAGGGGTGAACAAGGTAATGAGTACACATGATGAATGAGAAAATCCTTTTGGGGTGGACCTGAATGAACTATGAGTGGATAGCTTTCTATGGCTAAATCACTTTACAAAACTAGTCAGTATGTTCCATAGATATAGCACTTTTCTACTGTTTTAAAAATGGGATAAATACATATATATGTATATATTGTACAAGTGTGAAATTTTGTGAGGTAGGCATCGTTTTCACTTTATAGCTAGGAAATAAAAGCACAAACTGAATGAGGTGAATTGCATATGCTTGATAAATACACATGTCTGTTCAATTCAATTCTCCCTTCCCCTGTTTTTTGAGACATGCTCTCTCGATGTAGTTCAAGAGGCCTCAAACTCCAGATCCTCCTTTGAGTGCTGGGATTGCAGGTGTACACCACCATGCCCAGTTATAATCTCTTTCTTTTATTTTTTTTGAGGTGCTGAGAATCAAACTCAGGGCCTCACACATGCCAGGCAAGCACTCTACTCCTGAGCTACAGCCCCAGTTCTCCATATCCTACTAAAATGTCTTTACCTTAGCTCTTGCAGTGTTTAAGTCAAGGGTATAATAGCTCAGTAATGAAATACAAAAATGTTATATCCCACAATCTCTTTTTTGTTGTTGTTTTGAGAAAGGGTCTCAGTATGTAGCTCAAGCTGACCTTGAACTCACTTTGTAACCCAGGCTGGTCTCAAACTTGCTATTCTCCTTTTTCAGTCTCCTGAGTGCTAGGATTGTAGGCATGCACTGCCCTGCCTGGTTGCTCAATAAAGACTTAAAACACACAGACTGCTGACATGTGGCCAGGAACATCTGGCATGTGTGAGTGCCTTGCTGGTGTTAGCATGTAATGAACAAAGAACAAGCTCTTCCAATGTATCTCAGGGCTCTAGGAAGGGAATTATAGCTGGTGAACACATTTCTCTGTCAACTTTCTAAGAGTCAGCCATTCACATGTCAAGAGTTTTGGAACTTAAAAGTATAACTGTCTGGAACTGGAGTGCAGTGCAGTGTGAGAGGTACAGTGCGGTGTGAGGGGTGCTTTGGGCCAGCACAGAGAGTCTTCACAGTGAACAGGGATTTTGTTTGGCCAGGGTGTGTAGCACCTACTTACTGATACCAGTTAAACTCTGTGTGTCAGTATTCCATTTCCTTCTGTCCTGGGTCAGTGTTAGTTTTTCCAATAGCTCTACACACACTAGCAGTGCTTACGAGGACTTCATCTTGAAGTTTTTAAACGGCTGGATAAATCTTCCTTTGTCTTAGGGTTTTTTTCGGAGAAGTATTCAGCAAAACATCCAATACAAGAAGTGCCTGAAGAACGAGAACTGTTCTATCATGAGAATGAATAGGAACCGATGTCAGCAGTGTCGCTTCAAGAAGTGTCTGTCTGTGGGAATGTCAAGAGATGGTATGTTCCCAGTTTAAAGACTGTTTTAAAAATGTATGCAGCATTTATTCCTCAGCATAAGCCAGAGCTGTGGTTAGTATTAGTGGCCCTCTTGTGTCTAAGGTGAAGCAGATTACACAAAGCACATTTTGATTTATAGGAGATTAAATTCATCAAAGTCAAATTTTAGCAACATCATCTCAGAAACAGCTTTTGGCATAACCTCTTTTTTTCTATATAATTTGAAGACTTTTTTTTCCTAAAAAAGACTTTTTCTTAATATAGTTTAATTCTTTATTTCTTAATATTGCTGAGGAGCTAATTTTTGGTGTGAATTATGTCTCACTATTGGCTTGAGGTGATGCTAATGTCCTTTTTGGGGCACAGGCTCAGAACATGTGCAAAGGAGATACAAGATTAGGGTTGGAGTGGAGGTGGTTGCTCATTTCTGGCATGATCCACTCCCATACAAAAGAAGAGTTGCTGTAATTTGTGGAACTGTTAGTATTATCTGTGGATGACATCATTGGAGTATTTGGCCATTCTGTTTTGCTTGGGGAAATGAGGGATGTGAAATTTTTATAGAGACTGGTCTAGTAGTGTTAAGAATTCCTAAGCATGAATTACTGTTTAGGGAAAACCAAAAGGTCTTAAGCAATCCTTTTGGTTACTCTAGTATCTTGCTGGTACAGAAATAGACTATTGCAATAGGGAGTTTTTAGAATAAGAGATTGCAGCAATGAATGTTTCCTTTTATCTGTTGCCTGAATTTTTTTTGCTATATAGGTAGCATTAGTCTGACTAGTGCTATTAAAATGGTGGATGGATAGTGCTTACTCCAAAGAATAAAACCAACAATCATTTGGTTGGTGAAGGAAGGAGTGGAGGTAAAGTACAAAGCATGATAAGTTGTTTGTCATTGATAATGGTGTTGTCAGAGGCTACAGTTGGATTAATAGGCTTTCTTGCTGGGTAGGTGTATTGAAATTTTACTATCTCTATATAATCATGAGAGCAGAAAGTGGCTTTTCTTTTCTTTCCCTCAAGGATAGTGTTATTAGAGACAGGATACCCTTTAAGACTAGCTTCTAAAAGTAGAGGACACCTGATCTCATTTTTATTTAGTTCATTGATTTTAATTACATTCCAACGTTTATTTTCCAGTAACTGTATCTCTATTGATTGTGTGTATGTGTGTTTGAAAGATATTTTCTTTTCTTTTTTAAGAACTCAGGAAAAAGAAAGAGCAGATAATTTAGTTGTTAGTGTCTCGAGAGTGAGGTTTCAAAACTGAATCGATGGTTCAGGTGTTGAGGGAGTGTGCGCACTGCTGGGTTCCGCGAGGGTGTGGATGTGTGTGGCTGGACCCTCCATGCCTGCCTTTGAGGACAGAGCCCTCAGCTTTGTTAAGGTGCTGTGTCGTAGTGCTGGGCTGCTTCACACTGCAGGTTTCATTAGACAATTTAACATTTTGTTCTTCACTTTTGCTTATACAATACCCCCAAAATAAATCTTTGTAGCCATGTTGGGAGAAAAATGGAAAATTTTCTTTCCCTTTCTCCCTCTTTTGCTGCAAATTCGGAAAACTGGGCCAGAGATTTGTAGACATTCAGGCCACAGCTATCTGATAATTTTATGTTACTCTTTTGTTCAAACAGGTTTATTTAGAATGTAGATCTAAATATCTTTTTCTTCAATAGCTGTTCGGTTTGGCCGTATTCCTAAGCGTGAAAAACAGAGGATGCTAATTGAAATGCAGAGTGCGATGAAGACCATGATGAACAGCCAATTCAGCGGTCACTTGCAGAATGATGCCTCAGCAGAGCATCATGAACAGACAGCCTTAGCAGCCCAGGACCAGCTGCGACCCAAGCCCCAGCTGGAGCAAGAAAACATCAAGAGCTCTCCTCCCCCCTGTGATTTTGCAAAGGAAGAAGTGATTGGCATGGTGACCAGAGCCCACAAGGATACCTTTATGTACAATCAAGAGCCACGAGAAAACCCAGCTGAGGGCATGCAGCCCCAGAGAGGAGAGCGGATTCCCAAGAACATGGAGCAGTATAATTTAAACCATGACCATTGTGGCAGTGGGCTTAACAGCCACTTCCCCTGTAGTGAGGGCCAGCAACACCTCAACGGACAGTATAAAGGGAGGAACATAATGCATTACCCAAATGGGCATGCCATTTGTATTGCAAATGGACATTGTATGAACTTCTCCAATGCTTATACTCAAAGAGTATGTGATAGAGTTCCAATAGATGGATTTTCTCAGAATGAGAACAAGAATAACTACATGTGCAACACTGGAGGGAGGATGCATCTGGTATAGTGAGATCAATTTTTTGCTCACCTTGTATCAAGGAAGGTTTTCTTTTATTTAGGGAGGTGGTTCAGAAAGTCTAAGAGATTTCCAGAACCAATTTTGTATAGTGTTTTAGGTGAAATAATTTTAATAAGCTGTATTTGTTGAATAACCTAATTTCACACACAGTTAGGAAAAGCATGTAGTTTAATTGATACTGTGATTGGAATTAAGATTTTTATATAAAATATGATTCATACAGAATTGGCTGTTTAACTCATGGAAATCCTTTTTAAAATTTAAGTACTATGATTAATAGTACCTCATTAGCTTTGCAATTTTTTTTCTCAAAAGTGCTAATCTTTTAGCTTGCCATGATCAGAAATTCTTTGCTCTCTGTGGAGAGAGGTTTTGTTGCTCTTTTTTTTTTTGAGATGGGTGTCGCTGTGCTGCTGAGGCTGGCCTAACTGTGGCTCAAGCGATCCTCCTGCCCCAACCTCCTGCTTAGTGGGATTTTAGGTGTGTGCCAATGTACCTAGCAGAGAGAGGTTATTTAAACATAATGATGCAAAAGGATCTTTGAATATAGAAATAGTAGTTATATTGTTTGAGAATTTAAGAATATTTTAATTCTAAGGATTTTCTCAGACTCCATCCTTTGAAGTAAGTTAATGTTATATCATTCAAGTTTTTTTTTTTTCCATCAAATACAACATTCTACATGAAAATACAATGTTCGTATTCAACCAAACTTTCATCAAAAACAGCAGTACAGCACCATTTCCAGTTTAAACCATGAGGTCCTTTGATAGTGCTTGGTATTTTCTACTGCCAGGTAATTACAGTCTTCTTTTTTCATTTTCAAAATAGTTGACTCTACCTGAGTCTTGTTCAATATGGTGTCCCCTGCAAGCATTTGAGTCTGTGGATCTGAAAGCTGACCTTCTATATTGTTAGGCTTTGTGCTTCCTTTAGCAGGGAAAATCTGTAAGCAGTTAGGTTCTGATTTCATGAAAGCCACCATGATTTTAGAGTCATCTCATTCCTGGATCTCATTTGGGTTTAATGAAAAATTAAAGGTTGGTTTTACTAATAGAGTACAATGGTACATGTTTTACAATTTTTTTCATATTTATTTACTTGAGACAGGATCTTGCTAGGTAGTCCAAGCTGTCCTTGAACTCCTGATCCTCCTGCTACAGCCTCCTGATTCATTATCATTTTAAGTTTTTTTTTATTTTTGGTACTGGGCTTTGAACTCAGGGCCTCACACTTGCTAGGCAGGTTCTCTATTACTTGAGCCACTCCACCAGCCCTGTTCTGTGTTTTCGAGATAGGGTCTTGGGAGCTATTTGCCTGGGCTGCTTTGAACTGGGATCTTCCTGATCTTTGCTTCCTGAGGCCACAGGTGCTTAGCCTTTTTAGCATTCTTAGAGCTTCTTCGGCTTCCTATTTTTCCCTCCCTCAGTCAATTCACATTTAGAAGGTGCAGCTTGTACCTGCAGTCATTGTTTCCTAATTGAACAAGTGGAGGTCAGTGGTCACACCATTGTTTATGAAGTAAAGGGTCAGTGATCTTTCCTCTTGGTAGTTTCAGCATTATTCTTCTGCCTGGTTAGAAATAAGTGAGTTCTGAAATATTAAGTAAATGCAGGTTTGGGTCCTAGGCCTGTGACTTCAGTTGTGTTTGGGTAAGTCACCATGCCTTTCATTTCCTCATCTAAGAAGTGATTGTTGTAGACAGGAGTGCAATTCAGTGGTGGGAGTGCATGAGGCTCTAGATTCCAGCCCTAGCACAGCAAAATTAAAAAATAGTAACTGGCCACAAACTAATAGGGCTGAGAAACAAACAGATACATGTGTATTTGTTTTGAAGATCATAAAACACTACATACCAGCTTAAGGTGGTAGCTGTGTTACAAAATAAATTCTTAAACCTGTACAATAGGTTTAAGGAAAAATAGCTCAGAGGCATTTTTCCGTAGGTTCCTTCTTTTATAGTAAATTAACTGCTATTGAAATTAGGTTGTGGACCAGGTGTGGTGGCTTATGCCTGTGATTCCATTTACTCAGGAGGAAGAGATAGGAAGGTCACAGTTTGAGGCCAGCCCAGGCAAAAAAGTTAGCAAGGCCTCATCTGGAAAATAAACTGAAGGCAGAGGAACTCAGGGCAGGGCTCAAGTGACGGACACCAGGTTTTGCTCCCAGCACCTCCAAAAAAATTAGGTTGCCATGAGGCTTTCTTCTTCTTTTTTTTTTTTTTGTGAATGTAACATACGTTATAATATTTCCATTTGCAAATGTTTGTACACCTTTCGTTGGTTAGCATTTATTTTGTACTGTACATTGACAATATGTAATTGTATATATTGTTGTGAAGCTTCCTACATTCAGGTGAGCAGCAATGGAGAAGGCTAAAGGCAATAGATTGTCCTTGCACCTGGGAATTCTTTTCACATTGGGGTGTCTACTGATTGAGATGCTGTTTTGGGGATTTCTTTCTGTTCCCGCAGTTTAACAGGGTGTTCCTGTTTTGTGTGTACTAGGTCTGTCCAATGAGTAAGTCTCCATATGTGGACCCACATAAGTCGGGGCATGAAATCTGGGAGGAGTTCTCTCTGAGCTTCACCCCAGCTGTGAAGGAGGTGGTAGAGTTTGCCAAGCGCATTCCAGGCTTCCGAGACCTCTCTCAGCACGACCAGGTCAACCTGCTAAAGGCTGGGACTTTCGAGGTAGGTTTTATTTATCTTCAACAGTGGGCCAGGGCATGTAGTGTCGTATTTTCTGTGGTGCTTTCATTCTTTTCTAAATAAGTGTTCATAGTTCATACTCTGAAACTACCAATAAGAGAGTAACTATGCCAGAATTTTAGGAAGAGATGAGGCAAATCCACAGTTACTTAGGACCTGAGGTATAGGTGGTCTGTGTCCTCAGTGTGTGAACTACAACTCTAGTGTTGTTTTCAGGCATGGACTTGGTGTTTTCTGCAGAGTGTTACACACCTAAGAGTCTACCCTATGTTCAGTACAGAATAAGAAGGAGAATAGAATATGGTTTTGTTTTTAGGAGATCATAGGATATTTGGTGGATTCAGCAGACATTTCCATGCCACTGCCAATCCTCCCAGTTGTGCTTTGCTTCAAGATGCTTGGTTGCTTTTTCTTTTTCCTTTACTTTTTCTTTTCTTTGCTTTCTTTTTTTCTGAGACAGGGGCTGACTATGTAGCCCAGGCTGGCTTCAAGCTTGTGATCTTCCTGCCTCAGCCTCCTCAATGCTGGGATTATAGATGTGTACCACTATGCCTGGCCTTTGGCTCTTTTTTAGAAATGCATTCTGCCTGGGCTTGGGACAGTCACTTTGCCCCTTATTAAGACCAACTAGCAGGTGGCTCTCCTGGTGCTTCCTCAGGTGCCCATCATTTCCTGTCTGCCCCAGGACAAGAGGCCTGGAGACCTGCTTGCAGCTTACTTAAGCATAATTCTGAAATTTGGGGTGGTGGTCGAAAGTTGATGTCTAGTGGGCTAGATCTTTGAGCCTTCCATCAATGGGAGAAGGGACCAGCCATATATTTTTGTTTCCTCCTGGATGACCCTACAAGATGGCACTATCAGTTAGTTTTGATGTTAAGTAATGGTCTGTTCCATAATGTACTCCTAGCATCTGCTCACTCTCCTGTGCTGTTTCATTTCCTGTGTCCTCACTCCTGTTTCACAAGGGCCAGTGCACAACCTGTAAAAGTTTTTGCCTTAGGCTCTGTTTTCTGGAGCACCTGGAATAGAACAGAGAAGCATCCCTATTCATAAATACAACAACTGTAGAATAATTAAGAGTGGCACAGGTTAGGTCTTTCATTTTAAAAAGGAAAACATTTACTTAATATTTAAAGCCTGCTGGTGCTGGTGGCTCAAGCCTGTAATCCTGGCTACTCAGGAGACAGAGATTAGGAGGATTGTGGTTTGAAGCCAGCCAGGTAAATAGTTCATGAGGCCCTATCTTGAAAAAAAAAACACACAAAAAAGGGCTGGTGGAGTGACTCAAGGTGTAGGCCCTGAATTCAAGCCCCAGTACCGCCAAAACAAACAAACAAAAAAAGATTTAAAGCCAAAGAAGTCAGTAATGAAGCTCAGATTACTGGTTTAGGAGAGGCATCTCTGGCCCAAAAAGGTGGAGACTTCTTGGATTACCGGTAAATTCAAAACACATACAGGATTAGGACATAAATCCTGGATTCCAGATTTGTATTCTTTCCACCTTGTGATTTGTGTTGGTGCTGCTGTGTTCTAGGGTTAACCATAGTTTCAGTTGAAGGCTCACTGTCTTTTGGATCATCCTGAGCAAAACAAGTCTTTGCTTGGGAGCATTGCAAAAGGAAGGTGTTTATTCTGTGCTGCTTTGATGTTGAGAGAAATGTGTGACATGGATGTCATCAGTTAGTATAATGGAGGGAGTGCTGTAGGTAAGGTAACTAACTGTTGGCTGATTTGGTTAGAATGGCAATTACAGTGTAGTTGTTTAGAGAATTTATTGTGATAGTTGTCTTTGAGTATAGTCTGTCTTGAGTAATGGCTTCTTGTAGTAGTCTAGATAGAAGAGTTCATTTGCTGTTTGCCTTAGCTGCATTTGGTGTTTTGATGTTTTCAAGCATTGCTGCATTGACATACTGCTCTTTTTACTTGGGGGCACAGAGAACATGTGAGTGCTTGTTAGCCTAAAGAATTTCTTTAATGCTCTTGGCCAGGGGCCATTTCTAAACTTCTTGCCAATTATTGCTTGCTTTATTTATTTATTTATTTTTTAATTTTTTTTTTTTTGCATCTTTCCATGACCTCCTAGCATTTTGAGTTTGTGTTGAGAAATCTGCTGTTATTCTAATGGTTTGCCTTTATATGTTACTGTCATTTCTCTTTTCCAGTTTTCAATATTACGTTTTTCTGTTTGTTGATTGTTATAATATGTCTGGGGGTTTTCTTTTCTGGTTCTGCCAGCTTGATGTATTGAAAGCCTCCTGTACCTGTATATTGCTCTCTCTTTAGGTTAGGGAAGTTTATAGCTGTTATGTTACTAAATAAGTTATCTCTACCTTTAGTTTGTAACGCTTATTCTACACCCATCATTTCTAGATTTGTTCTTTTGATGGAGTCCCAGATGTCTTGCATGTTCTATTCATTTTTTTTAGCATTTTTCATTGTTTTAACTGATTGATTTAATTCTTCTAATTTGCTTCTAGTCCTGATATTCTATTTTCATCTTGCTCCCCTCTCTTAGCCAAAGTTTCAATTGAGATTTTATTTTGAGATATTGAACTATTCACTTAAAAGTGGTCATTTTTAGGATTTCTATTATCTTTATTGATTTCCTCTTGTATATTCTGCATTTTCTTCCTTATTTTGGTCACCTGTGTGTTTGAATTCTCTTGATCTCTTAGTTTTTTTCATATGCTCTTTTTTTTTTTTCAGAAACATTGTACATATTTATTACCTATTTATTGTTTCTTTCTTTTTTTTTTATTATTCATATGTGCATACAAGGCTTGGGTCATTTCTCCCCCCTGCCCCCACCCTCTCCCTTATCACCCACTCCACCCTCTCCCTCTCCCCCCTACCCCCTCAATACCCAGCAGAAACTATTTTGCCTTTATTTCTAATTTTGTTGTAGAGAGAGTATAAGCCATAATAGGAAGGAACAGGGTTTTTGCTGGTTGAGATAAGCATAGCTATACAGGGAGTTGACTCACATTAATTTCCTGTGCGTGTGTGTTACCTTCTAGGTTAATTCTTTTTGATCTAACTTTTTCTCTAGTTCCTGGTCCCCTTCTCCTATTGGCCTCAGTTGCTTTTAAGGTATCTGCTTTAGTTTCTCTGTGTTGAGGGCAACAAATGCTAGCTAATTTTTTAGGTGTCTTACCTATCCTCACCCCTCCCTTGTGTGCAATTGCTTTTATCTTGTGATCAAAGTCCAATCCCCTTGTTGTGTTTGCCCTTGATCTAATGTCCACATATGAGAGACAACATAGGATTTTTGGTCTTTTGGGCCAGGCTAACCTCACTCAGAATGATGTTCTCCAATTCCATCCATTTACCAGCGAATGATAACATTTCGTCCTTTTTCATGGCTGCATAATATTCCATTGTGTATAGATACCACATTTTCTTAATCCATTCGTCAGTGGTGGGGCATCTTGGCTGTTTCCATAACTTTATTGTGAATAGTGCCGCAATAAACATGGGTGTGCAGGTGCCTCTGGAGTAACCTGTGTCACAGTCTTTTGGGTATATCCCCAAGAGTGGTATTGCTGGGTCAAATGGTAGATCAATGTTTAGCTTTTTAAGTAGCCTCCAAATTTTTTTCCAGAGTGGTTGTACTAGTTTACATTCCCACCAACAGTGTAAGAGGGTTCCTTTTTCCCCGCATCCTCGCCAACACCTGTTGTTTGTGGTGTTGCTGATGATGGCTATTCTAACGGGTGAGGTGGAATCTTAGTGTGGTTTTAATTTGCATTTCCTTTATGGCTAGAGAGGGTGAGCATTTTTTCATGTGTTTTTTGGCCATTTGAATTTCTTCTTTTGAGAAAGTTCTGTTTAGTTCACTTGCCCATTTCTTTATTGGTTCATTAGTTTTGGGAGAATTTAGTTTTTAAAGTTCCCTATATATTCTGGTTATCAGTCCTTTGTCTGATGTGTAGCTGGCAAATATTTTCTCCCACTCTGTGGGTGTTCTCTTCAGTTTAGAGACCATTTATTTTGATGAACAGAAGCTTTTTAGTTTTGTGAAGTCCCATTTATCTATGCTATCTCTTAGTTGCTGAGCTGCTGGGGTTTCGTTGAGAAAGTTCTTACCTATACCTACTAACTCCAGAGTATTTCCTACTCTTTCCTGTATCAACTTTAGAGTTTGTGGTCTGATATTAAGATCCTTGATCCATTTTGAGTTAATCTTGATATAGGGTGATAGCCTAAAGAATTTCTTTAATGCTCTTGGCCAGGGGCCATTTCTAAACTTCTTGCCAATTATTGCTTGCTTTAATTTTATAATTGCATTTAAGAATCATTGTGACTAGAATTTCCGAGTATCTCATGAGTCAAGTGTTTTGCCATTGATGCCTGAAATTTCTTTTGATACTCTCCTTTATTGCTTTGGTAGAGAATTTGCCTTAAGAAAGTGGTTCTAGGTTAGAATAAACTCAGTTTTTCTTTTACATGTGGGATGTTTCTTAACTGACTTGAATGCTGCATTATTTCTTAGTATTGCCATTGAACTTCTGCAAATACATTTAAGCCTTTCTCTTCCCCAGGTTTTAATGGTACGGTTTGCATCTTTATTTGACGCAAAGGAGCGCACCGTCACCTTTTTAAGTGGGAAGAAGTACAGTGTGGATGACTTACACTCCATGGGCGCAGGGGATCTGCTGAACTCCATGTTCGAGTTTAGCGAGAAGCTCAATGCCCTCCAGCTCAGTGATGAGGAGATGAGTTTGTTCACCGCAGTAGTCCTGGTATCTGCAGGTGAGCAAGCTGCTTCAAAATGGTGCTGCATCTGAATATAGAGACCCACTGAGAAGAAGGTGGCAGTTAACTAGGTTCTAGCAAGCCATGTAGAAGGAATAAGGCCTTTACGAGAATGATGAAGTATGCAAACCTATCATTTTTGCAAAATTTTTGAAAATCACAGCAGTACAAATCAAGGTGCTATTGTAATCAAATCACGATTAAATCAGGGCCTCAGATTTTCCACTTGTCTTTAGCTTTTGTTTATAATTTTTCTTAAGTCTAAGAAAAATGGATTTATTTTTTGGAACATTGTGTATCTTCAGGTATGTGGTTCAAATATAAATCTTAACTTTTAATTACAACGTGGATCACTTGAAAATGTTAAATGTATGTACCAAGAGTATGGTTTATTGCAAGTTGTAGCTAAGTTGTAGCTTTTGCCCAGCTTTGCCATTGGTTTTTCTGTCTGTCTTGGGTAAGTGATTTTATCCTTTGGGTCTCAGTTTCCACATTCTGTTAGAGGAGCGGGTTGCCGTATATGAACCGAGTGTGGGGTCAGTCACTGTGAATGAGTGATCAGGGCTTCTGAGTCCTGACATACAGTGCTTACTTACATGAGTCACAGATCGTGGTTCCCAGTTTCCCTGTCATGACCTCGTGCTTGCTTGGGCCGCTCTACCAGTTCCTGCTAAATTCTTTTTCTGATCAATTGCCTTATGTGCTAGAGGTACTCAGGGAGACAAAAGCCTTCAGGCATAAGTTTACTCTCAAAGTGTGTATGTTCTTTGAAGAGAAAACATGAAAAGCTTTATGGTGCTACACTGTAGCCCTCACTGAGGTAAGCAGGAGTCACAGAAGGGAAGATGGAGTCATCTGAAGTTTGTGGGGAGTAGAGGAGTAGAGCTGGAACTCAAAGGTTGGATTAGTAAGTTTTCCTAGCACTGAGACGATGGAAAGCATGAGTTTGGGAAGGTGCAGGAGGCCAGACCTGTGGCGTGCCTGTCAGGGAGTCATGGACAGGCTCAGAAGTTAGAGGAGGTCCAGCTCACTGGCTAACAGTCATAAGAACTAGGCAGGGCCTTGTTACTGAACTATGGGCAATGAAGAGCCAGTATAACTTCTTAAGTTGAATGATCGAGCATGACCACAGGGGTGTTTAACATTAGTTGTGAGTTTTTATCTCGTGTGGATTAGATGGGCCAGCCACTGGAGCTGGAGAGGCGGGTTTAGAGACTGTTGAAATGACACTGGTATGAGGTCGTGGATTGAACTTTCCTGAAGTAAGTTAGGGGACGATGTTCCAGAGATAGCTCAGAGAATAGGCCAAAGGGTAGAGAGCACTAGCCAACTCTTAACCTCATTTTCCATGGCACTGGGCACATCTTTTTTTTTTTTAATTTATTTTTGAGACAGGATCTAGCTATATTTCCCCAACTGGCTTCAAATACTCTTCTCTTGCCTCAGTCCCCCTTCCCCCATCCTCCGTCCCCCAGGTGCTGAGATTATTGGCCTGCACCACCAGGCCCAGCTTTGTTTTGTTTTAATCACCCTTTGAAAACCCTTTTTTTGATTATAAGATTAATATAAATTATTTGAAAATTCAGAAAATATTAAGATTAAAATAGAGGTGATAATATCACTTTCTAATAAGATTAGGTGTTTTTTGTTTTGTTTTGTTTATTTGAGACAAAATCTCACTATGTACCCCAGACTGGCCTCAGAGTCACTACTGTGTAACCGAGGCTGGTCTTGAAGTCAAGATCTCTCTGCCTCAGCCTTCCAAGTGCTAGGATTATAGGTGTGTACCGCCACACCCAGCTAAAAGATCAGTATTAGCACTGAGGGTCTTTATCCATTTACCTATCCATCCATTTCTCCATTCATCTATTTTTTGATCCGTGATGTATTAAAAATTTTTGAAATATTAGCAGGGCACTGGCGGCTCAGCCTGTAATCCTAGCTACTCAGGAAGCAGAGATCAGAAGGATTGTGGTTCAAAGCCAACTCCAGGCAAATAGTTTGTGAGACCCTATCTCAAAAAATACCCAATATATTAAAAGAGGGCTGCTGAAATGGCTCAAGTGGTAGAGTACTGGCCTAGCAAGTGGAAAGTCCTAAATTCAAAACACCATACTGCAAAAAACAAAAAGCAAAACATGGTTTTTTTTGAATACTAAGTAGAAAAGCCGATAATAAACAAATACAGTGCATTCTCATTTTTGTTATGCCTATATGAAGATAACAAGCATACACAAACACACTTTTCATGTCACATTAAAATTTTTACTACTTAAAGTACACCTGCTTTTTAAAACTTTTTTATTTTTTGATAGTGCTGGGGTTTTGAACTCAGGGCCTTGTGCTTGTGAGGCAAGTGTTCTGAGCTACCTCCCCAGCCCTTTTGTTTCAGTTACTTTTTGGATAGGGTCTTGTGCTTTTGTCTGGGCCAGCCTCAGACAGCAGTCCTTCTTCCTTTGCCTCCCACATATCTAGGATTTCAGGTGTATACCATCATACCTGGCTTGTTCTTTGAGATAGGGTCTTGCTATGTTTTTGCCCAGGCTGGTCTGGACCCACAATTCTCCTGTCTCTGCTTCCCAAGTAGCTGGGATGACAGACATGAGCCACTGCACCTGGCCTACATCTGCTATATTTTTAAAGCAGTATCTAGTCAGGAAAATAAAACTCAGAATCTACAAGAAGAGCATAAAATGAAGTCTTCATGTCCTTCCTCTACTCCCAACCTTATTGCTCCTCAGAGGACTAAATTTCTAATTTTCTTTTTAGTTTCCTGATGGTTGACCAACTTAATATAATGCTTCTGCCTCTTTTTATTTAGTAGGTATGACTGATGTTTTGGTTTTATTTGTAATTTTAATATACTCCCATTTTGATCCTTTACTTTCACATAACCTCCTTTGGAGAGTTGAGGTAGAATATCCTCATTCTGTAGAGACACGGTATCTTCCATCTTCCTTTGTCCACACCCTGGCCTCTTTTCCTATGCATGGCCTCCATGTAATCAGGAATTAAAGTATGTATCTCCTGTTCTATACCTGTCTTTCATGTTTCATTTATCAGTTTCAAAGATGAAATGTCAAAAACCATGTTTGCAGTCCTGTGCTTGTGTCCACAGTGTCCACAGAGGGGTTCACACAGTGAGGTTGAAATGGTAGCAAAGGCAGTGCCTCAGCTTAAACTTCTGCAGCCTGAGGGTGTCTCTTGCATAAATTGACAAGTAGATTGTGTATTCATATCCTCCATTGATTGCTTAGAATTAAGGAACATTATAGTTCGCTCTTTTTTTTTGTATATTATTTAGTTTTCCTTAGAATCCATAGTTACCTTTTAAAAATATTTATTTTATTTGTTGGAAGAAATGCTAGGCAAATTCTTGATCTCAGTAAATAACTGTCCTCACAGCAGACCTCTCATGTGAGCTGAAACGTGTTATAATCAGTTATATAGGCAAGGGTTTTGAGAAACAGATAATTTGCTCAAGGTGTCACATTTTTAATAATTGGCTAAGTTGGGTGTTTGAACACCCACTAGTATGACTTCAAAGCTTTTCGTCTATACTGTTTGTGAAGAAAATAGCTCTAGCTGCTAGGGAGTGAAGTCAGCCTACCTGTAGCCTATGAGTTTGGATGACTCCTGATGCCATAGAAGGGGAGTTATACCTGAAGGTGAGTTTTATCCTGATTGTATGAGATGACAGCCATCATTCCAGCTGGAAATGAGGGACTGGTGTGCAGGTATGAGGTCAGGGCCTGGCAGATGGACCTCACTTGCCTGTATAAAGGCATTCTGGAGAAAGTGAATACACATAGAGAAGGCATAGGGAGGAACAGGCTTGAGAGGAAGAGGCAGCAGAGGAGCAGAGATGCAAGTGTCCAGCTGTAGTAGAGTAGCTAACTCAGTGCACTGAAGGCACTGAAGTGTTACAGTCTCTAGCACCTTGTTGTTTATGATCCAGCCAGATGTGTAACTGGGTTCTTTGGCTTTGAAATCATAAAGATTAGGGTTTTAGAAATGGAGGCTTTAGAAAAAATTAATATGATTTATATTTTCAGGTATAGGCATCCATTCTCCTGAGGTTCTGAGTTGTAGAAAGAACATCTAAACACCACATTTCACCAAAGGACCATCGTAGTTAAGATGCTGGCTCCCACTCGAGTGTCCTTCCTTAGTTAGCATTTGTTTCTTTCTCTGTCCATCCAAATTATTTTGTTTAAGGGAGTCACTGTCATTTTTCTTACTTTTTGGTATGTAAATAAATAATTACTTCCTTCTGCCAAAATGTGAGCTCCTTAAAGGAAGGAATTTTGTTTTGTTTTGTTCAATACATCCATTAAGTGTTTGGATGATTTAATGAATTGCAAGATGTTTTTAAAAGCTAATTTCTTGAGTCTGTCCTGGTGGCACATATCTGTATCACAGCACTCAGGAGCCTGAGGCAGGAGGATTGTGAATTTGAGGCCAGCCTGGGCTACACAGTGAGATCCTGTCTCAAAAAAGCAAGGACTGGAGATGTAAGTCCATGGTAGAATGCTTGCCTAGTATGCACAAGTCCCCACGTTCAGTCTCCAGCAAGGAGGAGGTAGGGATCCAATTATTTCAATATCAAAGGTGAGAAAGAAAGCCTCCTGGAAGCATTGGAAAGGCTTTAAGTACTTTGCAAAGATAACCTTCTGCCCAGTTGAACAAAGACAAATATCAAGAGAAAATTTTGTCTGAAAAAATTATGACTCCCCAAACTAAATAGTTAGTATTCAGTTTGTTTCTTTTTCTCTAAGAATTAGCACAATCCGATTTTGTTAAGTATAAAATAGGCCTGTTTTCGTAGTTTTTCTGCACTTAATTACATTTTCTTCCTTTTTGCCTTTTGATATTAAAGTTTTGTCCTTGTTCTAAATGGCCTTAAAAAAGGATACTAGTTATAATGGAAAGCCTTCTTGATGTCCTTGTAAAAAGTGAAAGGACATGAGTGGCCAGAGAAGTTTGGTTCTTTGTAGAAAAGATTTTTGTTGTTGTTGTTATTCCCTGTAGTAGGGCCATTGCATATTTCTTGTGAACTACTGACTCCTCTTGTAAAGGGAGGAAATAACCCTTGCTGATGAAAAAATTCATGGGCAACAAGGTTTGGCTGATTTTAAGATACTTTAGTGCTATTGTGAACTCAATAATTTATTAACATTTTGTATGAGCTTAGTAAACACATTGTGCTAAATGAAAGTGAATATAGGGTAATGTAACATATGTAGCATAATCAAGTCACATGGTATACTAGTTACCTATTGTTGCATAATAAAGTCACCTCAAAACTTGGTGGCTTAAAAATGCTGCATGTTTCAGGGTTGGGAATATGGGTATGGTTTGGAGACATACTCCTAGCTCAAAGTCTCTTAGGTGGTTGCACTGAAGCTGTGCTTTCATATGAAGGCAGGAGTAGGGAAGGATCTGCTTCCAGGTTTATGTGGTTATTGGCAGGGGTCAGCTCCTTGCAAGCTATTGAGCTGAGCATCTCAGTTCCTGTGAGCTGCTGGCTGGAGCCACTCCCAGTTCTTTACTCTGGGGGCTGTACACAGAGCAGCCCATAACCCAGTAGCTGGCTTTTCTCAAAGTGTGAGAGAGAGTACCTAAGCAAGGTAGGAGCCACAGGATTTTTGGAGGAACTTAACCTCAGAAGTGACATCCTTTCACTTCTTCCATATTTGAGTCAGTAAATGTAGCCCATGCAAGAGGAGGGGATTGTGCAGGATGTGAATGCCCAAGTGAGGGGATCATTGGAAGCCAATTTAGAGGCTGCTGGCCACCATGCGTTATAACACCAAAAGGAAATGTAGTCCAGATGTGGGAAATTAGGTTTCTATAGTACATTATTTTATCTTGCAAGTTAGAAGCAATTAGTCAGCAGATGGCATCTAATTAAAAAAATCATAACCTCTAGCTTGTTGTGAACAAAGATTCCAAAGCGCTAAAGGATTTTGATTTAGCAAATGTACTGTGCTGTGTATCTGCATTATAATAAATCACTAGGAAGCTTGCCATCAGATTTTTTGAATTCTCACAATTACCTTTACCTTTGTTCTTATGTACGAAACCTTGTTTTAAATTCATCAGATTGATGAACAAGAATTACATTTATATTTATTGTTAATAATGTCTTCTCTTTCCTGTTTCTTTGTTCTTACGTGTCAGATCGGTCTGGAATTGAAAATGTCAACTCTGTGGAGGCTTTGCAAGAAACTCTCATTCGCGCACTAAGGACCTTAATAATGAAAAACCACCCAAACGAGGCCTCAATTTTTACAAAACTACTTCTAAAGTTGCCAGATCTTCGATCTTTAAACAACATGCACTCTGAGGAGCTCCTGGCCTTTAAAGTTCACCCTTAAGGCCTTTGCTTATTTGAACATGAACTGATGCTAACTGTACATTTTGTGCTAAAATGCTTATTTATATGTGTATAGTGTATGTGGAGGTAGAAAAGACCTTTAAGACAATACCAGACTGTAGACTGTCTCTATAATCATGCATTAGTTGTGTGGATCAAGAACTCTACAGCCGTGGTTAGATGTTGACCACACTCCCCAGTAGACCAAGCAGCTGTGTTGCACTTAGACTGGAGAAGTCACACTGAATTATAATCACACTGAATGTCAGACTTTTTCATCTGCCAAAACCAAACACCATTTTGATCTCCCTGTGGTATAAATATAATGCACAGTCACAAGTACAGGAGGACTTAGAAATTAATACTTTTTGGTGGAATTTCTGTTGAATGATGGAAATCTTGGTATCACCAGGAAACAGTGAGATCTGGTAATCGGAGGTGTTGGGATCTGGGAGATCTCAGTGTTTGCATTTTGCTCTGCCACTGTCGAGGTGTATGATTGTGGACAGTGAGTTGGTTGTGATAGTGTCCCCAAAGGCCCACCTCACAGAGATACTAAAAAATGTCCATAAAGCATATTTACCATAGGCACTATGTAAATAAGGTAAATTTTGTTAATTACTCATAGTAGCATTCTTTTCTTATTTCTAAGCATTTCTAGGAAAACATTTCATAGTCCATACCAATCTCTTATTCAGGGTTCCAAGTTCATGGGTCTGTCAGCTGCACAGTATTTGTACATAGTACGTATGTGAATACAGCTATACATAAATATATTTCTTCACAATATTTTAAACTGTGAAGAACTTACACAATAAACTTAAAATGGGGTATTCAAAAGACCCAAATTAGGTGCATTTTACCTGTTGGTGATGATGTAATCATTGCTTTAAAATGTTTAGGCAGTAGAATATGAATTTATGCTCTAGTTTTGTTTATTTAAGCAACACTTACTGTAAAAGTGCAACAGGCAGTAAAGTCCAAATTTCAAACAATGTTTAAGAGTTCATCCTTGGTAAGATCTTTGGTTCAGGATACTGGTGTTTTAAAGGCTCATTCAGATCCTTACCTTGAGCTAAGAAAGGTTGTGTAGCTGCCCGTTATACAAGTGCTGCAACTTGATGATAAGGAATTTTAATTTGTAGAATTTGTTCATGACTGTTGGCACGTGTGCATACACAGGGCTGTGCACGTGTGTATATTCTGAGTCCACTTTTCCCCTAGATAACACTACAGGGATTTTGTCAAATTAGATTTAATCTATAATTTGAAAAATCATTTAGTGTGTGACCTACAGGCTTAAAAATGTAATAGCCGAAGACCTCATCCATGTGTCTAATAGTATGCCTTATTAAATAGATAAGATCAGCGTCCATTTATGGCAGTAGGTAGGAGAAAGAGCCAAAGTTGAGGGTTTTGTGTACCTTTTCCTGCTTCACTGGAAACCAGAAGTTAATTGGATTTTCTGGTAAAGATCTAGTTCTATATAATGTTTGGATTATATAAAGCTGCAGAAACACTAAGATCTGCTTTAATATACTAAGCCTGTTACTTTCATGACATGAGCAGAATGCCTTATTTTGTACTCTTGTTTTAACTTGTTGCTACTGGGATTTGAATTTCTGTGGTACTTGCTAAATTGAAAAAGAGGAAAGGTGATTATGAGGTCTGTGATACAACATAACCGTAATTGTGAATTACCTTAAGTAGGTATGACTTTTATGGGATTATACAGTTATAGTTTTTGTGAATTCTTTACATGATAGCATTATCTTTTTGTAATTTTTTCCTGATAACAAATGCATAGTTTTCTTCAATTGCAAATAGAAATGGCTTTCTGAAGTAATACTGAAAACCTCAAACATGGTGTTGATTCTTAATTTTTGCCTTTTGTCTAAGCGTCTTTATAATATGTATCTTTAAAACAGTTACATCTTTAGGAATATGTAACCAGAACTATGTTAGTATTGCTTATTAAACTTTAGTTAGGTTCAGTATATACATGTATACATCCATATATAGGCATAATAGGTTTGCATATTGTCTTGTTTGCATATTATTTTATTTGAATAAATTCTTCCTGTAGGTGATGGGAAAGAAAATTAGTAGTTTATATGCCACTCATAGTATTTCTGTATTTGAAAATAGCCCAAATATGAAACTTCTAATTCTAAAATTAAACTAGCAGCCTATTACAAGCACATTCTTTGATTGAGTTGTGGTTACAAAGGCAAAGAAGACCACCAGATTCTGAGTTGGCGAGACACTGTTGATTAACTCATAATGTACTGTATGAATTAAGTGATGCTTTAACTCTGACTTTACATTTTAAAGTTAAAATATGGGCATTATGTCAGCAAACTTAAGGGCATTATGTCAGGAAGCTAAAACATTTTTTTTTTTTCCTGTGCTTTTAATGTATCTCTTTAGTGACCCGAGAGAGTATTCCAGCTTTCAGAGAGATAGCTGAGGGTAAGGAGAAGCATCTGGAAATGGATCTTATCCTTGTGGTGATGGTTTAATTACAGATTAAAAAATTAAAAGGAAATTTCAGTGGATTAAAGTACGTAGCTTTCATATCTACATTTCAAGAAATTACATTGCAACTCAGTAAGAGATGATTTATTTTATGTAAACATCATTGCAAAGCCAGGTGTAGAAGCTCAGCTAGATTTATTACTGTGCACGAGAGAAAATACGTATCTCAACTGTTCTTTTGCTTTTTTCCAGTATAAAGTTTGCTGAATGTACAAGAAAAGTTTATCACTTAGGACATAGATTTTTTTTTTAGGGGCTGGGGGGAGGGGCTCTGTGAAGTTGTTACCTATAAACAAGATGGTCTTGATTTGATCCAAAAATTAAAACTTGAACCCATTCTTGAACTAACATGGAAAACTAAAATGGCTATTGTTTAAAAAAATGATAGAAATATATTGCTAACAGGATATTAATTAAGCTTATTTCCTATAAACTGTAATTGATGATGACATGGATAATATCTTCATGTTTCTGAGAAGTTATCTATACATGGGGGAAGGGGATAATAAATATTATTTCTGACGAAGAGTGGAGTTTGGTGTCTTATCTACCTTGAGGTTTTTCTAACACCATTTATAATTTAGTTTCATTTACTACAGGTCATCTTTCCTCTGATCACAGCAGGATGTCTTATGCACACCTCTGTTTCAGAATGGACAAACTTTAATATGTAGGGCTTTTTTGGGCCAAGTGCTATAGCTCATGTCCATAATCCCAGCCACTCAGGAGGTAGAGATCAGGAGGATTGTGGCCCCGGTAAAATGTTAGTGAGACCCCATTTCAGCAAATAAGGTAGGCTTCATGGCACATGCTGTCACCCCAGTTATAAGGGAGGCATTTGATAGAATTGTGGTCTGAAACTGGCCAGGGCAAAAAATGTGAGACCCTATCTGAAAAATAACTGAAAAAAAGAGGGTGCAGCTCAACTGGTAGAGCACCTGCCTAGCAAGCCCAAGGTCCTGGGTTCAAACTCCAGTCCTGCCATTGTCTGTAATGTCGATATATGATATTGTAGTCTTCCTGGAAAAGAGATGGTGAGAGAGTTGGCCTTGGCCATAAATGGTGCACAGTGCAGGACTCCCTTCTTTTCCCTTTCCTGGTGTGAACCTGTGCTGGCTAAGTAAGGCAGTGGCTGAAGTTGGTGTTTTCTGTGGTGCTTCCCAATGCAGTAATTACTATTCTGGATACTGGTTGATGCTGGATAGGAGAAATGGGCTCCTTGGTCAAATAAATTTAGAAGGTTACTGAGATGCCTTTGCCAGAGCTTTCTCTAGTGAGCATCATGACTCCCATAAGAAGGGGCCACTGGGATGCCATTTTCCCCAGACTTGATCCACTAGTAATATTACCGACTCCCCCACCCTCCACCACACCTTTCTTTTTGGAAGTTGTGCTTTTAAGAAAAAATCCTTGTTAATCTTACACCCACTTGGGTATTGTTTAGGACGTTGGTCAAATTTGGTGGGCTGTGTACAAATTTGCATTAATTTTGTAGCCCTTCCTTTGGGTAACCTAATAAAACAGCTCTGAATGAATATGCTGTTGATAAAAACAAATGAATTCCTGCTCAATTTTGGACCTGTTGTCTGTGAGTGAATGAGTAAAGATAACCAGTTCATGTATCTCATTTTAGTTTTCACACTCAGTTGGGCCGTGTGTATTACAGTTTGTTATGTTTGCTTTTCTTAGTTTTCAGTTTGTCTGCAGGTGCAGAAGCAGCTATGATGTGTTCTCATAGCCCCATCAGAGATGTTCTTCACTGTGTGACAGTTGGTGCTGTATGGTGATTTTCAGACCCCAAGTATGGGGTCAAGATGCTGAGTGGGTGAGGGAGCACAGCCCCTTTCCACAGCTTTACTGTGAACACGTTCCCCAGAATGTGAACCCCCGGATGTGAATGGGCTCTCAGAATTAGCATCTCTCATTTTAATGTACATTGCTGCAGAGTGGGCTCAGTGGTTTTAAGAGGCTCAAGTACAAAATACACAGGTGAATGGCATAGTCCTAAAACTTTCTCCCCTATTTTTACTACTGGAGTATGCAGAGAGTGGAATGTGGTCTTTTCATGTCTCCGAGGTAAGTAAGATGTCTGTGTGTTTCTTTTCCATTGTCTCAGTTTTCTCTCAACACCTATCCTTAACCTCAGCAGTGCCCCCCTATGACTTTGTTGCTTTGCTTGTAAATTTTCATCTATCATTTTCTCCTGTAATAGCCATTTCTTTTCCTTTTCAGGTTCTGCAGTTAAATACAAGTGGGGTAGTTTCCAAAGTGGAAAGCACCTGCTTTCATTTTCTTTTGATCAACATTTTGATCCCCATAATGGCTGTTGTTTTTCACTTCATATTTTTATTAGCATATATTAATTATACAAAATAATGGGTTTCATTGTAACCTTTTCATATATGTACTTTGATCACATTTTTTATGCCATTACCCTTTTTTATCCCCCTCCCCTCGAAATCCCCTTCCCTTCTGCTAAAAGTCCCCCTTCTACTTTGATGACTTTTAAATTTTTTCCTAGATTCACATATGAGAGAAGACATGCAATATTTGTCTTTCTGAGTTTGGCTTATTTTGCTTAACATGATGATCTCCAGTTCCATCTGGAATGATTTCATTATCATTTTTGGCTGAATAATATATGTCTATGTGTATGTGCACACACACAAACACACACACACACCACATGCACACACCAGTTTTTATCCAGTCATCCATTGAAGGCACTTAGGCTAATTCTATAACTTGGCTGTGAATAGTGCCATGATAAACGTGTGCAGTATCTCTATCACAGGCTGAATTAGATTCCTTTAGGTGTATATTAAGGAGTGACATAGCTGAATCATATGGTAGTTCTATTTTTAGTTTTTTGAGGAACCTCCATACTGATTTCCTTAGGGGCTACACTAATTTTCATTTCCACCAATAGTGTATAAGGATACCTCCCCCACCATCCTCACCAATAATCATTGTTTTTTGTCTTTTTTCATGATAGCCATTCTGACTAGGTGAGTTGGGATCTCAGTTTAGTTTTGATTTGCATTTCCCTGATGGTGAAACCTTGGACATTTTTTTCATGTATGTATTGGTCACTTGTACTTCTTTTGAAATGTGCTTGTTTGGTTCGTTTATCCATTTCTTGATTGGATTATTTCTCTTTTGTTGTTTCATTGTCAGAGGGATAGCTGGCAAAGGTTTTCTCCCATTCTGTATACTGTCTCTTGGCTTTGTTGTTTCTCTTTTGTGTGTGTGTGCAAAAGCTTTTTAGTTTGATGTAATCCTATTTGTGAATTCTTGCTATTATTTCCTGAGCTATTGGAGTTTTTTTCAGAAAGTCATTGGCTATGCCTAGGTCTTGAAGTACTTTCCCTTGTTTTCTTCTGTTAGTTTCAGTTATTAAATTAAGGTCTGACCAATTTTAAGTTGGTTTTTGTACAGGGTGAGAGATAGGGATCTAGTTTCAGGCTTCTACATGTGGATGTCCTGTTTTCCCAGCACCATTTGTTAAAGAGGCTGTCTTTTCTCAACAGCCTCAGATCAGATAGCTGTAGATACTTGGGGTTTATTCCTAGGTCTTCTATCCCATTGGTCTACATGTCTTTTTTATGCAAATGCTATGCTATTTTATTAGTGTGGCTCTGCAGCATAATTTGAAACGAGGTACTGTGACACCTTCAGCATTGCTCTTTTTGCTCAGGATTGCTTTGAGTATTTGGGGTCTTTTGCGTGTGGGAGACCAGTAACTAAACAGACTGAGAAAGAACTCTGACATGTGCAAGGCTGTGTCAAAGACCTTTGTTCTGAGAAGGCAAGGCCCCAGCGCAAAGGAGGTGAGCAAGGCTCAGCAAGGCTGCCTTGCAAGTAGGGAGACTGAGGCAATGGAGATAGACTTTGCCATGAGTACTGCTCTGTCAAAGGGTCCCTTGGCTGATAGGCACTGACCCAGCCCAGGGGAGGCAAGGTTCAGCAAGGCATCCTGCAGGGAAAACAAGGCATGTTGATGAAGTCAGGATAGTCTGCAGTAAATAACAACGTATACAGCTGCACTGTTTCTGCCTCCTACGCAACTGGACCCATGAGAACTTGACCTGCACTTCCCTTGCTTTCCCACACTTGCTGAATAAATAAATGCGCTTGTAGGTGAATGGGGTCACCAGCATCTCTCATCAGGAGTGCTGGACCCGCCCGGTCCCAAGCTTTTCTCTATGTCTGTCTTTGTGTCTTTTTTCTCAATCCCCAGTCACTCCCAGTCAGGTCAAGGGATGCTCACACTGGCCATGAGATCTGTGCTTCCATTTGAATTTTAGGATTTTCTGTGAAGAATGTCACTAGTATTTTGATGAGGACTGCATTGGATCTGTTAATTGCTTTTGGTAATAAGGCCATTTTAACAATATTAATTCTGCTGTTCCATGGACATAGAAAGTCCTGTGTTTTATAGTGTATTTGATTTACTTCAACAGTATTTTATAGTTTTCATTGTAGAAGTTTTTCACCTCCTTGATTAGATTTATTTGTAGGTATTTTGTTCTTTTTGAGACTATTGTGGGGCTGGCAGAGTAGTTCAAGTGGTAGAGTGCCTGCCTAACAAGCATGAGGCCCTGAGTTCAAATCCCTGCACCATCAAAATAAAACAAACAGAGACTATTGTGAATGGGGTTTTCTTCATTTCTTTCTCAGAATTCATTATTGGTGTATAAAAAAAAGCTGCTGATTTTTGTATGTTGATTTTGTCCTGCTACTTGGTTGAATTTGTTTATCAGCTCTAACAAGTTTTTTTTGGTGAGGTCTTTAGGATCATAATAAGTACAGGATCATAATCCTTGCAAGTAGGTGTAATGTGACTTTGTCCTTCCTTATTTGTATGCCTGGCTAAAATTTCATGTACTTTATTAAGAGCAGTGAATGAACGTCACTGTTTCATTCCTGATATTAGAGGAAATGCTTTCAGTTTTTCCCCATTTAATATGATTTTGGCTGTGCATCTGTCATACAAAGCCTTTATTATGTTAAGGTGTGATCCTTCTGTATCTGATTTCTTCAGGGCTTTTATCATGAATGGATGACAAATTTGGCAAATGCTTTTCCTACATCTTTTGAAATGATCATTTCATTTTTTTGTCCTTGATTCTGTTTATGTGCTGTGTTATGTTTATTGATTTGCATATGTTGAACTGTCCTTGTATGCCTGGAAAAACCAACTTGGTCATAGTGTATGATCTTTTAATATTTTGTTGAATTTGGTTTTCAAGTATTTTTTAAAGAATTTTTCTGTCTATACTCATCAAAAATAGTGGTCTTTAGTTTTCTTTTTTGGCTGTGTCCTTGTCTGGTTTTGGTACCAGGGAAACTCTGGTTTCATAGAATGAATGTGGTAGTGTTTCTTCTCTTTCTATTTTATGAAATATTTCAAGTAGCATTGGTATTAATTCTTCTCTAAAGGTTTGGTAGAATTCGGCAGGGAATCCGTCCGGTCCTGGGCTTTTCTTTGTTGGGAGGCAATTACTACTGCTTTTTATCATTGCTTATTATATTTACTTTTTTTTTTTTTCAGTACTGTAGGATGAACTTCCGGGCCTTGTGCTTGCTTTGTAAGCACTCTGCCACTTAAGCCATACCCTCAGTCCTGTTTAGGTTGTTTATATCCTCTTGGGCCAATTTTCATAGGTAATATGGGTCTAGATAGTTACTCATTTCTCCTAGATTTCTAAGTTCTTGGACTGTAAGTCTTCAAAATACTCTCTAATGATTTCAATGGTATGTGTTGTATTGTCCCCTTTTTCCATCCCTCATTTTATTTATTTGGGTCATCCCTCTCCTTTGGTTAGTTTGGTTAAGGGTTTGCCAATCTTGTTTATCTTTTCAAAGAATGAACTCTTTGTTTTGT